TGTCTCCTGTTGGAGTTGTACCTGATTTTATTACTAGCTTTCATCTGAATCCACTGGGGAATGGGATGATTTTGCTTTTGTTTCTTGGACAGGAATCACTTAATCCTGAAAGTCTTGTGAGAAGCCGTGGCAAGAAACGGAGTAAAGCACACACCAGGATGGCGGAGAAAGGAAGAGAGAGCTTGTATTTGTATTTATTTATTTTTTTGAGATGAAGCCTCACTCTTGTTGCCCAGGTGGGAGTGCAATGGCACGATCTGGGCTCACAGCAACCTCCGCCTCCTGGGTTCAAGTGATTCTCCTGCCTCAGCCTCCTGAGTAGTTGGGATTACAGGCATGCACCACCATGCCCGGCTAATTTTGTATTTTTAGTAGAGATGTGGTTTCTCCATGTTGGTCAGGCTGGTCTCAAACTCCTGACCTCAGGTGATCCACCTGCCTCGACTTCTCAAAGTGCTGGGATTACAGGCATGAGCCACTGCACCGGGCCTTATCATTTATTTTTTCTAGAAATGAGGTCTCAGTATGTTCCCATGCTGGTCTCCAACTCCTGACCTCAAGCCATCCTCCCACCTCAACCTCCCAAAGTGCTTGGATTACAGGCGTGAGTCATCACACCTGTCCAGATACTGAATTTTAAACAGGCTAGAAGCCATGACTTCAGCATAACAACAACAAGAATAGTAACCAAGTCACCTCAAACCACACCAAAGAGCAAGACAGAGTGGTTGACACTACCTTGTGAAGTCAGCCTTAGTTTTCTTCCCTACCTACATCCTCCTCCTATCTTTTAATTTTTTTTTCAGGCTCCTAATATGTGGCAGCTTCTTGGCACAGAATTCTAAAAGGCTGAATTGTCTTGATCTTCCCAACGTCAGCACACCCTATAAGGAACTGTGAATGCCAATAATCCTGGAGAAACAGATGGATATTTAAAATCACACACATTTATGCACAAACCAAATGTTGAGGTTTTGGGCACAATATGGAACTTGATCTTAGCCACTTTTGTGTCCTTCCATCCTAATGAGGGAACCTGCTAAGGCCAGGGGCAAACAGAAGGGAGAAACGGTGCTCTGGGTTGAAAGATGAAAACAGGCTAGCAGAAATTAGTTACCTGTGAAATGAAAAGTTCTAATGTTCCTAAGGTTTGCAAAATGTATCTGGGTAGGTGCAATCCTCATTCAGAGTCAAATGTCTTAAAATTACTTTGGAGTCATCTACCAAGTGTTTGTTTGAGATTGGACAAAAGAGGTAATCCATATCATAGCAGGTCTTGTTTGGAATAATGGGATATTAGACTTGAAGAGGACCTCAGAGGGCCCATAACCATAAAGACAAGAATTATAAAACTGGACAGGAGTGGTGGTTCATCTGTAATCCCAGCACTTTGGGAGGCCGAAGTGGGTGGATCACTTGAGGTCAGGAGTTCAAGAACAGCCTGGCCAAATATGATGAAACCCCATCTCTACTAAAAATACAAAAGTTAGCCAGGCCTGGTGGTGCACATCTGTAATCCCAGCTACTTGGGAGGCTGAGGTAGAAGACTTGCTTGAACCAGGAAGGCGGAGGTT